CCAAGGAATTTACTGGTCTCGGGTTATGAGGAATCAGAAAAATAAATATCTACAAAACTTGACTTCGTTTTGTACTCTGTTACTGAGGAGAGCTAGAAGATTGATATCAAAGAAAAGGGAGCAGTTGAGCAAGATACCCTCTAGAGGGTATCTTATCAAGGGATGATAAGACCCTCTAGAACATATGGGTCAACAGTATTATGCTTAAAGCGACTTTTTTCATAGATTTCTACAAAGCAAGAGGATTGTAGGTTGTGCATACGCAAGATAACACGAAGAATATGTAGTATCCTACTATCTTCAAGACTATTGTTTATACCTTCTGACCATTGCTCTAAGACCTATTTTCTCAAATTCGGATGGTTTAACTTTCCTTGTGTTACTGGGCTGTGGTTTGTGTTTTAAAATCTGAATTGACTTCTCAGAAGAAAATCCCGCACTTAAAGTGGTCATGCGTATGGAGCTATGGATGCTGTCCAAGTTAACTTGAAAGACTCGTTACCTATGATAGCAAAATATGATTGAATTAAACTTGGGGTACTTATGGAGTGCACTTTCCTTTTTAATATATTGTGCGCATTTTTAATCAATATTACTTGTTCGTAACAGGTTAAGGTTCTAGCTCTAACAGACCATGACACAATGTCCGGCATCCCTGAGGCTCTAGAGGCAGCTCGTAAATATGGCATCAAAATTATTCCAGGTGTTGAAATTAGTACGATATTTTCTCCAAGGTAGCTTTCCAAAATATTTGTTATTCATGATTATTGCTGTTACTTCAGCTGCTTGAGAGAGAGTTTGAAATTCTCAAATCTATAGTTTTTTTTCTCTTTTTTTTAATCAGTTAAGAGTGTAAAACAAAATAAATCCTTCCTATGTTCAGAACCACTCTTTTCTTACGTATCTGATTTATGGCCATCTACTTGCAGAGGAGACTCTGAAGCAGAGGAACCAGTACACATTTTAGCATATTACAGTAGCTGTGGACCAACTAGATTTGAGGAGCTGGACAAATTCTTATCTAATATAAGGGATGGCCGTTTTCTTCGTGCAAAGAACATGGTCTTAAAACTGAACAAGCTCGAGTTGCCTCTTAAGTGGGAGCATGTTTGCAGGATTGCGGGCAATGGGATTGCCCCTGGGAGGCTTCACGTAGCTCGGGCTATGCTTGAAAAGGGTTATGTAGAAAACCTAAGACAGGCCTTTGCTCGGTATCTTTTTGATGGTGGACCTGCTTACTCCACGTAATGTCACAGAACTTTATCTTAACATGTTATAGTTTGCTACTGCTTTAGGAAAAAGATGAAAAATATGGTATTATGGTATTTATGTTTCAGGGGAAGTGAGCCTTTAGTGGAAGAAGCAATAAAGTTGATCTGTCAGACAGGTGGTGTAGCTGTACTAGCTCATCCATGGGCTCTAAAAAATCCCGTTCCCGTCATCAAAAGGTTAAAAGAAGCTGGCCTACATGGAATGGAGGTATACAGAAGTGATGGAAAATTGGCAGGTACTCTATTACCACTTGATGATTTGTAAATTTTAATCCCTTTTTTTTTTTGGGTCGCTGAAACCATAATGTAACTTCATAATTTAGGATTACTAGTTTCCCTATAAAGCAAAACTAGATTGGTTGTGCATTACGAATAAGTGAATATTAAACACCAAGAATGGTTTGCTTGATGTAGGATTGAACTTGGTAAGTATTTGGTTCAACTCTTGCTAGTGATTCTTTTTTGTTAGGCATCTATCGATTGCAGTTTACACTGCCTTTGGGATGGAATGATCTATCTGACTGTAAACCAGAAACGGGTTGAATGATACGTCATTTGAAATATTCAATTCTGTTCCTTCCTCCGCTTTAGTCTGACTCCTACAGGAAGATGTATGTCGTCTGTGGAAGAGAAAAATAACTTGTGAAATCTATTTGAGAATGAGTATGGTGAATTATTCCTTAGTGTGAATTAGGTAATGAAATGAAACCATGAAGGCTACCTAGAACTAGTTATTACAAATTCTGCACTTTGAAAACTATGTCAAAGTTTTTTTAATATTTCAGTTTATCCAAATCTTATCAAGTATTCCTTATGAAATCACTGCCAAATTTTGATGGGAACACTAACTAGATAATTCCGATTGACTTTTGCATGGAGATAATTAATAGTCATTGTGATTGGGCACGATTAAGAATTTCAAATCACATTTTTCTTTCCTCTGAGCCTAGGTTATTGAAGAGGAAACTGAAGTAGGAACTATCCTAGCCTATTTTTACTGTGGGATGTCTCATGATGTACGCTGCGTAAATAGAAGTAAAACTTCCTCGTCATTTCTTTCCTTGGATTATGATATGTATAAATCTTGGCCTGCAGTATACGATGACCTGGCAGACACTTACGGGCTTTTCAAGGTTGGTGGCTCAGACTATCATGGGAGGGGAGGGCGCAATGAGTCCGAACTGGGAAGTGTGAACCTTCCAGTTCTAGTTTTGAATGACTTCCTTAAGGTTGCTCGGCCGATCTGGTGCAAAGCAATCCGGGAAATATTTGAGAGTTATGCTGAAGAGCCTTCTGATTCTAATCTAGCAAGCATTATGAGGTTTGGGAGAACCCTGATTTTTAATGGAGGTTCACCCTTGAGTCGTGGAAGGGACTTGATTGATCACTATTTGCCTCTTTGGTTAACTGGTGAAGAGATAGAAAACTCCAAGTTTGAGGCCATAAAATTGAAGCTTTCCAATATACCTGTAAGCCAAGAAGGCATTCAGGTCCTCATAGAGACCAAATAGCTGTATGTTTGTTGATATGTGTTGACCACTCACCATTCAAGTAAGGCAATCATAGTATTCATTTTGTTAACTATGTTTGCCTATTGATTTTTGGAAAGTTTCTCTAATCAACAAGCAACAAGTTATCTTATCATTGTTCTAATCTGAAGTATCAAATGTACGTTTGCCTTGTTTGATGCTTGAATTCATGAGAAATCCAGTTTCATTTGTCCGGAATCTTTTAACCAGATGTTCGCATGTAGCAAATATAAAGGATTTATAATTTCTACATCATACCTGTGTAGGAGCAATAATATCTTGTACGTTGAGTTTAAACACCAATTTATATCGAAAGTTTGGAGCGATGTTGTTCGGAAGCGTGTTTTGGAAGTGTTTTTGGATTTAAGGTTATTTCGGAAGTGTTGAAATGAAATAATATTGTCTCATGTTATTAAAAATGTTAATTTTTTAATGGTTAATGTAGCTTTTTAATAGAATGGGTAATATTACCATGTTTTGATATTTTTGGGGGGTGATGTGAGAAAAACTTTGGACAAATTTGTACGTTATCAGAAAGTGTACTAATCATGCTATAATGTTAAAATAGGATTATATGGCTTACAGAAAAGAATGTAGGCTACAAGAGAGGCTGAGTTCTAGGGTCACCATTCAAGAGCATCAAATGGGATCATTGATGCGCGTTGGGCTAAGGAGTTCAACACTCGCTTTATTGTGAATTCATTGGCATTTGTATTGTGTTGGAGCAGAGCCTAAACTCGTAAAACAGCTATTATAAGCGCTGTTCTACGCAAGAGAACATCCCTAGACATGATCAAGGTCTTTAGGTTTACTGCAAAGTCGACGTGGATCGTCTTGGGCCATATGTGTCTCATTGTTTTGTGAGCAATCTTTCGTGCAAAGCAAGCCATAGGTAAGTATGGATCGCTGCGCTTTAGGCCATTTCCAAACCAAATCCGATTTGGGGTTTGTCATGCCAGTGTCAGATATTTAGCTTTTTTTTTTCGGTGAAAATATTTGGTACACAGAAGAAGTGTTTTTGAAGAAAGAAAATGAAAAATACACCTAAAAAGGACGTAAGTAACTTTGACGTATTTATATGGACATTTTAGATGAAAAGGTACTCCTCCGGTCCTTAATATAAGACCATTTAACTAATTTGATTAAATTAAGGAAGTTAAGTAAGTTAGTTAATTATAAGAAATGTTACATGTTTTTCCTCAAACACCATAATCATCTTTCTCAATACCCCCTCTTTCTTCTCTACTTGATTATGGTTGGAGGAGTATTCATAGGGGTAGTTTAAGAAAAATGATAAATATAAGAAGTGAGTCTTATATTTAGGACCAAAACTAATTCTATAATTGGGTTTATATTAAGACCGAAGGGTATTTTCCTTACTTCATGTGCACTTGGCTTCACCACAATATTCTTGAGGTGAGGCTATGGTTGCAATCTCCTTTACAAATGATGCAGGCCGTCAAAACATTGGTCTCAATTCCACGTCCGGGTAAAATCTTGCTAGTTCCTATTAAAAACTTCGTGAAATAAAACATAAGATTTTATGAAGCATGATTTTATTTAAAACTGAGGCATAAACGCCACTTTACTCGGTCTTTAATTTTTAAATTAATTTGCAAAAATGAAAGACAAGAAGAAATTTGAACATGTAATGACAAAGATGGGCACTATTAGTAAGGCCGGGAACTCAGGGCCATACCCGTCGACTCATTTAAGTCCGTTTAACCATTTAAAATGAGAGCCGCCCTCATGAATTGGGTTCTCCAAATTGTGAAAGGCTGAGCTAACCTATTTTTCCAGCTCGTGGTTGGTAAATTGTGCGCTGTACAATGGAAAGATGCCATATCTAGCACATTTCGTGGAGACTTATTTTTGGATGGAAAGAAAACTACTAACTCCAACTCTCATGTAAAATCTTATTTGATTTTTATTTTAATATTGAATAGAAAACCTCAATCTACTTCATCTCCCATATTTATACATTTTTTCTCAATATAATCCTTTAATAATAATAATTGTAGCCAATACACTTGATTAGTAAAGATATTTTAGAAAACACAACACATTTATTACAAATAACTAATTTATTTTCATAATCTCTTCAAATTAGTCAACTAACTTTATAATTAAGACTCTATGTAAAATATTAAAATATTATTATAACCACCACGTGATAAAAGGTGCCGACTGAGAAGACGAATAGATAAACAACAGTCACAAACTTTAATACAAATAAATCTGGTATACTCAATGAGCTGAAGCACGCTTAGCAGCTAACTTATATTGTGATTATCAGCAGAATATACATTAATGCCAGTGCACAGGGCTAAAAGGAAAAAAATGTAAATTAGGCGTCTCAGTAGGCCCCAAATATTAGTACATTTTCATATATACTTGAAGCTACACATTCTACACAAAAATAATGCCAAAGCTGGTATCACTTTTCACTAGGAGGCATCACTGACGAATCAGTAGGTCTGTGAAACAAAAAGTGTGCTATAGACCGATCAATAGGATTGGTATCAGTTTCCATGTCCACAAACCCAGAACACCTGAAAAAGAATTTTGTTATGCTTGGCTAAATGACTATCAACGACATTATTTTCCATGGATATGCAAAGTGTGGAAGGTTTTTTCAGAACCAACAGAGGAGTTCAACGCAGAATTCTCTGCACTCATCTTTCCCGTTACCTTGAGAAACACGTATCACCCCAACACACACAAATGGGAATAATGTAGATACTTCTCTTCAATTAGAGTCATTTGTAAAATGCTTCCCTCAACTTCGAAAATTGGAAAATTGAGAATTTATCAAAACTTAGGTCTTTCGTTTTCTCTCTCAGGCTACCCCCCCCCCCCCCAAAAAAAAAAAAAACTTCTAAGCAGCATTCCAACAGCAAGGGTAATTGCCTGGTAGTCAACAAATGTAGAAATGTAAAAAGGATTAGAAGAATGCAAACAATTACCCGCTCACATCTTGAGTCATCATCGCTTTGCAGGCCTCAATATTCTCTCCAATGCTACCGTTTCCTTTGGCATAGTTATGTCTTTGTTCAGCACTCCTAGCCAGGCGGTATAGACTGTCCCTTATGCACAGTTTGGTCCTTATGTCTAACTGCAATCCAACAATTGTTGTGTACATACAGTAATAAGTTTCATGCATGTAATCAACTTCTGAATGTCTCATCAACTCTTCTATTTTATTGAGCAAATAAAATATGAAATTAAGAATTTTACAGACTGAGGATAAATCCGATAAATATAGAAAACCTAAGTAAACAACTGAGGATATGATAAGAAAGACGATTTATCAACTTCGTAATCACGATAAACATTACACCATGGGGCAAGTAACATTTCCCTGTGGGCAAAATAAGCTTCTATGGCTTCCATTTAAAAGCTCAAATCCCCCATGGGTATCTTCACAAAATAACCCTCATTAATGGCTGGCATTAACTGGGGCAAGGCTGCTGTGCAGCAAATATGATCTCCCTTTAATTACTTAACCGGATAGAGCTACTGCACCGATTTAGCTGAGCGAATAGCATTCAGAAAATGACAAAGAAATCCCTTAATGAATTGAAAATAATAATTAATAAATACTTCATTAAAAATACTCGGGAGCCCTGAAAGCTATTTTGAGGATTGTGTTCTATATTATGTAAAAGACTTCTAAAATGAACGCCTCTTAAAGCCCATCTGTTCATGCTGCCATTTCTTCCATTATCATACTTTTCAAACGATTTCCATGGCCCATCCAAATATCAAGCGTCAATCAACTGACCAGAGCTTCACATTTAGTCTGACTAAGATAAACACAGAGATGAATTTTTTTCATCATGCCTGAAACTTACATGGCGTCCCATATTCAATTGCATTAAGAATTTTAACAGACTCCTACTAAACCATACTGATTGGCACATAAATGATAGAGAACCAAACGTGCAGTGAAAGTGTGGAATTGAATCAAGCTGATTTTATTTTTTAATATTTATTTTAGTGGGTTTAGTAGTGGTAGTGCAGCACAAGTTCAGGACCAAACAGAGTCTGTTAGGATTGGGATTATTTACTGAGTCAAATATTTCTATCAAATCTGTTATTTTCCTAAGTCGTGTTAGTGGGCCTAAATCTTAGGGAGTCATAGTTATATTTCTGATTATAAATATTGAGGCTCAATATATGTAAATGTCATCTAGAAATAAAATTAGTATTTGTTTTATGAGTGGAGATTCTCCTAAGGCTTTGTTTGGTTCAACACAGGGGAGGGGAGGGGAGGTCATTTAAAGGAAGGGGAAAAGAGGAGAAAGGAGGTCACGGGTTTTGTTAGGTTGGAGGGGACAGGAAGGGAGGAGAGATTTCTTGTTTGATTCATAAAGAAAGGGAAGAGGAGGTAATTGTAAATTAACAAATATGCCATTATCTATATATTTAGACTACTTTATTCTTTTATTACAATATTTATATCAAAATTATTATTTCTTAATTTATCGATTTCAAAAAAAACCAATTACCTCACATGTGATTAAAAAAAATAATAAAACAAAAAAAAAAAGAAATATGATAATAAGTTTAACATTCTCTCTCATTAATTTTATAATTATAATACACACGCATGTGTAATAATATATATGATATGTATATATTATATCATTATAATACACACACGTTATGATATGTATATATTAATATATATGCATGTTTGCAACCTATTTGAGATCATAATACACACACGCCATGATATATAATTATAATACACACATTGTGATATGTATATATCAATCGGTGTATATGAAAAATAATTCAATTGCTCAATACATGATATTTTTATTAGTTTCACTCTCAAAAACTGATTAAAATTATTCTCAATTTGAGTATTTTCTTCCTATTCGTTTTCAATTTATGCAAAATATAAGCCATGCATGCTACACTATTATATCAACACAACAAAGTTGGAACTTGGAACTTAATAGAAAACAATCATACAGCGTGTAAAGCCTATATATATAAATTAAGTATGCAGGCATACTGACGATTGCAAAGACTTTAGCTTTTCAAACAGCTAAGTGGTAAGTCGGTAACCTCCGTTACAGTATAATAATACTAGCCAAAAAGAGAAAGAAAGGAGAAAAAGGTTTCTAATAAGAGAGGCAAGCTTGGAATATTAAAAAACTAATATGGATAGTTTAGTCAATATTAGACATAATATTTCTCTCCCCTCCAAAAAACCCCAAATTTGGAGGGGAGCAAAAAAAGACAAATTTCTTCCCTTCCCTCCTTTTTATTTTTCCCAACCAAACACACTTATCTCATCCCCTCCTCTCTCCTTTTCTCCCCTCCCCTCAACAACCCTCCAACTAAACACACTTATCTCATCCCCTCCTCTCCCCTCTTCTCCCCTCCCCTCAACAACCCTCCAACCAAAGAGAGCCTAAGGTTTTGTTGGTTGTGAGCCAGGATTCTTACTCATTCCAATGAAGATTTTCGTTCAGCTTTATTAATTTGTGAAGTTAGATTCTGATTTCATAGTTTTATAAAGATTTTTCTTCCTTGTTTCTCCCTACCAAATTTGGATCCTATCAATAAAGCATTGGGATCAAGACAACCAACTAATGCACTAGAACTTTTAGGCTGTAAAATGTAAGTAGTAGTTTAATGTTAAACTCTTAGTAACTGATTGCACATTAAGGCCAAGGAGGACTATAGGTGTGGTGTTAACACAGTCACATGGAAAAAAATCACCGTGACATGTTAATTTCAGCTTCATAGTCTGACAGACACAAATAAAATAAAGCAGCAATATAATTTTTGATCTCTCAAGTTTGTCCTTATTTTGGTTTAGTCCCTCAATTTTCAAACTATAAGTTTTGATCCTTCAAGGGGCAAAATAGTTTAAGCTTTTATTGGATTATAGGAACCAACATTTTAAATGAAAAGAAACTTGAGGGACCAAAACCTATGATTTGAAATTTCAGAGACCAAACTAAGATGAGGGTAAACTTGAAGGACTAAAATTTGTATTAACCCTGAAACAAATGCAACCAAACATGAATACCATGGATGCATCCAATACCTGATCCATGACCAATTGCAGTTGGCGAAAGCTTGCTTCAAGTGAGATTTCATCCACTGAGCTCATTGATGAGATTTCCTGTACATTTGAGGACTCTGTTTCTTGTGAAAATCCTACACTAACTCCATCAACTTCACTGTGGCCTTCATTCTCATTTTCAAACTGATGCACTAGCTGCTGAGCTGAAACTGGACTTTGACATGGCAATGAACCTGCCATATTTTCAATTTTGAAACTCTTAGTCAATGGTTGTGCAGCATTGGGATGATATAATCTTTCTCTCTTTTCATTTGCTATCAAAGCAGCAGCCTCCAAAGAATGAGCTTGAGAGCTCTCCACATTTGAAGCATAAGATGATTCTATAAGAGAAGGAGATGGAAGGCTATTGTGTTCAGATCTGGATCCGGATGGAGCTGGAAGGAGGGCAGTATTACTTGAAAAATCAGTATACCCTGGGTGTGGCCGGTTAACATGTGTTTGTAAGCATCCTAATGAATCAGAATCATTGTTTGGTTTACGTTTCTGGATGCTAACTTGAGAACTAACTTTGCCAGAAGATGCTCCAAAAGTTTCCTTTACATCTCCATATTGCTTTAATGGAGCACAAGGATAAACAGCATTACCGTTTTCTAGGTATTCGCTTTTCCTTCTTCCTTCTGATGGCTTTGACAGTTTCCTCTGCATCAGCAAAACAAGTATATTATTTGAGATATACAAATAAAGAAACAATTTACTTCGGTTAATGGATGGCCACAATATTTACACAGCAAACCAGATGAATGCAATGGATAATAAAACATATGGGAAAAATACAGCACAAATAACTAACATGAAAACCTTGGAGAAAGAATATTTGCTTGATTGGCCCCAAATACACCCTCAATTATTACTTGTAATTCTGATTATAAGGATAATGATTAGCAGTTCATGGATAGATCACAGCATCATCATAGAATGATATAATATATATGATCTAGCACCATCATAGAATGATATAATATATATGATCTTGATTTAAATTTCTAAACCCTCAAGTTTCAAGAATCTGTGTTGTCTTTTCGCTTTGGGGGGGGGGGGGGAGGAATCAGTGTTGTCTCCAGATGGTGACATAGCTATACAATAACTTCAATAATTTAATTCACAATTTACATAAAACCAGAGGCCTAAATCAAAATTATTATATCATATGTTTCCAAAAGAACTATTACTGGAGTGTGTATTTTGAGAAATGAATCCACACAGAACCGTTGGTCCATAAGTAGAAATTCAAGAAATCATAATCGAGGTTGTAAAATGAAAAAAGAGACACATTATGACCAACCTTTTCTTTAGGCATTGAGTCATCAATGCCACCAGATTTAATGTCTGATTCACTGAGCACTGATGATGAAGCAGGGACTGAATCATCCACATCCATCCGGGTCCTCGATTTTTTATTGAACGAAGATGCTTTCTTATTGGAATCATTGATTGACAGACCACCAGTACCGGCCTTAGAGTCTGTGTCATTATCTGATGTATTTTTTAATAGGCTCGGTTCAGCTCCTGATAACTTAAATGTACATTTTGATACATCATCAGATCCATCAGTGCCGTTTGAGGAGGAAAGCCAGCAGAACTCCTCTTCATTGTTTAGACTTCCCATTCCAAAAGTAGAATCACAACTCCTGCAAATTTAAGCCATATATCATTATGATAAATAGATTAGCATTTCAGAAAATGGGAAAAGTGAGGAAATTCCATTCAAATGAAACAATTCCTCCCTACCTAAACATCCTGTCAACGTCTTCAAAGTTCCCTATATCCAGCCACCCATCATTGTCAAGAAAGCTAAGTTCATTGTCAGCTTCGGATATGTGGTTGATTGGGTATTCACACACACTATCATCTTCCACCACACACTTATCTCCGAGCACAGTGTCATCCATGCAAAGCTCACTGTCAATAGAATCTATATTGCTACTCTTATAATGATGACCTGACATCCTTGTATCATCTGATGATGGTCTTTTCACTTCTTTACATGCCTCACTATCACGTGAAGGAAAGACACCTTCACTTTGATGAGACCATGACCCCTCTTCCAGCATTATTTCTTCCTGAGTAATAGTTGGTGAGTAAAACTCTTTCTGACCGTGAGCATCATAGGTGCTTAAATCAGTACTTCTAGTACCATGAAATTCCAGACGTTGTTTCTTACTACCGTCAGCCTCTATTGCAAACTGATCCGTATGTTCATCACCAGATAAGGCCACTATATGATCATTTTCACCAAATCCATCCCACACGTTATCTTCAATCTGTGACAACAGAGGTATTTAGAAAGTAGCAAATTAGCAGGTTTTTAACAGTATCCAGGCAACACGGAGAACAATAAATTCTCAATAACCTAATAAAGAGAGAAATGAGAGATTCCAAAACGTTCAAACTCATTTTATAACTAGCTACACAAGTTTGCAGGGAAAAGAGAGGTGATCCAAACATATGAAAAACGAGGGCTTGCTGCAGCAGCAGTTTCAATTAATATAATGCTAGCAACCTCTAGTAACGGCTCATATAGATTACTCGATAATGAGTTCTGACCTCTATCACATCATGCAACTTTCCAGTAACAAACCCAGGAAATCATTGACAGCAACTAGGTTCTCACACAAATAATGCTAGTTTAGCTAAATATGACAAACCAAGCACATTCATGTAGAGTAATAGCTTCCAAAAATTTTCATAAGGAAGCAAATTGCTACTCTATCAACTTGAGATAGCAGCTATTCATTGTTTACTTAATAGTTTGAATCAACGGAGGTAAACAAAACAAGCAACTGGGGGCAAAAAAATTGAATCAAGAAAGTTCACTGGGATAGACATCGAAAGAAAGGTTTGAACCACACATCAACACATATCATATGCATTCATCTGGTTGGATAGGAACAATTGAGAAAATTTGTTACAAGACTATGGTCATGTAAGGAAAGAAAAATTGCTCAGATCATTAATCCCACTATTTCTTCGACACTTGATTGAAATTTTCCTCTTATGCAAAGGTCCAATGCGTGATGAAGTAGATTTCGTCTATATCTTTCTAGTTTCTTAAGCGAGCTCATCAAATTACTCTTGCAATAACAGATAACCCTATACTACCTCCATGCCAGCAATAAACATCGCAATTAAGCTGTAAGCATTACAATGCTCTCAAATGGGGAAAAAAATGGGACATCTCAATTCAGGAATAAAACAACATTATTATAAGCTACAAAAATGAAACATAGTGCCACAAGTTGCCACAAAGGTTTGAATTAGAATTTTGTTCAAGCTCACACGTATACAAGCTATCACCATGGTAAAGAAGCAAGGCACATAAAGCCCATAAGTTCATCTGTAATTATAAAAAATATAATCCACTTTATCTACATCAAAGGGTCTTAGAAGAACCTCAGCTACAACTCCACCTCAAGAAACCTCAACCATGTAGTTACACTATCCATATAGGGAAAATTCGAGGGAACATAACTTAAGCATGACCAGTTGACAGTTTCTTAGAAAGATAAATCTTTCAATGCAAATAAGAAGAAAAGGGAAATCATAACAAAGGGGGGGAAGGGGGGGGAAGAAATATTAAGTTTAAGTTTACCATTTAACGTGTACTGTAGCTTCACATTGACAGTAACATCAGCCACACTCACCACCAATCAACAACAAGCTATTCAAAGCGTAGTGACTCTGGAGTCTTATTAATAATTACCAAGGCATTTCTTCACCCCTAGCTCTTTTCAACTCGGATTGCGTAATAGCCTGCTTACAAGATTATGCTACAAGGACACACCAAAAGTAGATTTGTGTACGAAAGTGAAACTCAACCAGAAATAACATCTAATATGGCGATGAAAACATCAAACAAAGTTCAAAAAGTGATATCATCAATACAGTATAGAGTATTTCACATTATATGAAGGCACATTCTCCACTTATCACCAAGATCTGCCACCAACCATGGTACTGGATACTTGCCACATTTCCTCCAGCTCACCTTAACTGCTCAATGTTAACCTCATAACTTCAGGATTTGGTCACTTATATAGTAATAGAATTGATGGAATTAATGGAATTACATGGAAGAAGCCCAAAGACATGAGATTTCTAGGAGTCCATAAAAAAGAAACAACGTGCTACCAGTGCAGCTAAAATGTATCATAATTTTTCTAATATGCATAAGGCTCCGGGAATGAAGGGGGTATCTAAAAACAACAGAATTATTCAGTCAGTCCAGGAATGGTACTAATGCTCTGTATAGACAAGTGCATTCACATTAAAACACCTAATGGCAAATTCTGTAACAAAATCGAACAGAAATATATAGTACCTCAAGCATGCAGATTTTTGACATTGCTCTGAGATATTTTATCCACCATTGAACGCATACGCAACCGCTTGATCTAGTGTCATTTATCCTTTGCAATATATCTCCTCAAAATGCTTCTCTGCAGACCATATACACAAAAAAAGACATACCTCAAGTTATATGACCGCTTTTATCTGCATTGAATGTTACAGACACCAAGTGTAAATACTCGCAACTCATGCATAAATCTAGCACTGAAGCTTTAAAAATAAATGAAATCCAAAATCTACTCAACAAAAAGCGTTCATTTTTCTATGTCAATCAGCAATTGCAGGTCCTAGCAAATAATAGCCATAATCTACCATGACGACAGCAGCCATTAGTCAATTCCTTTTGAATAGAAACCTCAGAAATCGTCAGGTGTTAAAGGTTATTATGAAGTGAGTCTTGTGACCACATAATGCCTCAAATAGAACCACCATCAGATGATTAAATATAAACTTCACATAACTTTTTAAGCTTGTTACCATTCACATGACTTTCTAAGCTTGTTACTATTATTCCCCCTGGCCTTGTTTATCACTAGCATCCACTTTCCCAAATTTGAAAATTTTTATATAGAAGCACTTTATCAAATAGTAGACTACAGTACCTTTCTTTAGTTTTGCTGAAAAATTACTTGAACCTCTCCCCCATTTCCAGAATACACGTTTCAGTTCTTAAAATATAAGATTGTGCCACTATTCAGTCCAACTTGATTTTTTTTTTTTAAAGCAAAACCCAGAGAAGATCAATGCAATAAAAAAAAATTCAAAGAATTGAGAAGTTCAAAGAAGATCAATGTAATTTGTCTTCTCATCAAAAAAAAAAAAAAAAGGTTCCCAGCTACCTTTTCAGTTCAAGAATTACAATGCTTACACTTTAACATTTCAAATTTTGGAAATCACTGTTAAAGTCAGTAAACTCTCTCAACAGTCCTTCTACGAAAAATAAAGATAACCTTTTTGTGTTAATGTGCTAATTATTGAAATCATTTAAGTAATCAAAACCTACGACTACCTGGTGCTGGAAAAGAAACAAAGATAACCGTATTAATCACCTATCTAAAATAACTAAAATTCAATTTATTGTTAACTTTTAAGAAAGATCAGAAGTGTACAAGAAAAACGGTCCTCTATTTCTAAACTTTAAGCATAAACCAGAGCCCTTGGATTTTTAAAAAGTTTAATTTCTCCTTAGAAACATTATTTTTTGTGAGAATGGCTAGAAATCACCTCATAAGTAATAAAGAAATAAAAAATAAAATAGTCAATGAGCCAAACCTAAGCAATTTACGCTCGAAATGCACTAGTTTTTCCCGAGAGTACTAAACACCAACATATATTACCAATTTGATATCTAAGTTATCAAAAGATAGAACATTTAAGCTTCAAAACTTCACTTCAAAGTTCATTTCTTCTATCTTTATCTTCGTTTTTCTGTTATCTAAAGATTGGCCAGATAGTTTGCCAAGGGCAAATTGAATAAAGCTTGCTAAAGATAAGGGAGATGACTAAAAATAGATTATGCACACTGCAGAATCAGTAACAGTAATAGAATCAATCAACCCTAGCTAGCCAGGAGCAACCAAGAGAAGGAAAAAAGGTGTAAATCTCTCAGAAATGACTATTAATCTTCAATATTAGCCCATGTTTATATTTTTTTGGGAAAAAAAAGGAGAGAGAAAGAAAACCAGAAGGAGAAGAATCAAATTAATCCCAATCAGAATACTGTAAAGCTCAAACTGGAGTTGCAGATCCTTTCCTACTTTCAGCCTAACTTCTACCATCTTCAAGTAATCTCAAACCCCACAAACAAACCAGATCAAACTTGCACAGCCAAAAAGAGGGGGGAAATTGAAAAAGACTAAACTAGACATCTGCAAACATACCTGAATAACAAATTCTCCGGGAAAATCCGAAAGTTACCGAGACAAAAATCCAGCCGAGAAATCTCCAGCCACAGCACTGAAATTCACCACAACAGAAGAACGCAGTTCAGGCTCTTTCGCATCTCACAGTTAGGAATTCAATTCCTAGGGGCTTCCAGAGCTTTCTTTTTTTCTGCGGAGAAGAAAACCAGCAGACTTTTTTTTGGCTTTGTTTAAATTTTTGTTTTTTTGGTTTGTTTTTCTTGGTGGAGAATATTTTATTGTTTTTGTATAATAATAATCTAAATGAAAGGAATCACGAATGAGATGCCACGTGGCGATGAGATCATGGCGTAGGGAGGCGGATATCAGAATTCGTGGACGGGAGAGAGGCGCTCAGATCCGATCACTTACTGCGACGCTATTGGTCCACGTATGGCGCAACTAGCGGAGAGATCAACACGTAGGTGTGGGACCACTGAGAGAGGACGTTGGAATCCACGCGGTTGGCGGAGTACGTGTCATGCGCGCGGCTGCTTGTGCTCCTGCTTTGCAGAATTTAATGGTTATTAATCATAATTAATTCTTAATGTCAAACTTAAACATGGCAGCCACTAGCTTTTATTCTCTCCCCTCTCAAAAGTAATAACTGCCACTTGGTTTCTTTGTCACCATTATTCCGATTTGTCCTTTTTCCCTTCAAGTGATCTCATGATCTCATTTTCGAGGGGCCAGAGAAACAAAATATCACCCATCCTAATTTATTGCAAGTCATTTGGTACTCATACTGGCATACTAAAGAAGCCATTGAATATATTCTAGGGACCCTTCAAAGTATTTTTTTTCCACTATTTTATAGTACATTTAATATTTGTCAAATTTTTTTTATGTATCGAATATCTTAAAATATTTTTTTACATGTATCTAACATACTAAAATATTTTTTGATGTATCAAATACTAAGGCCATAAAACTACTTAAAAGTTCTAGATGCACTTGAAAAATCTTTCAAAAGTACTTGATGTGCTTTAAAATATTTTAGAATGCTAAATATATCCGAAAAAATATTTTACAATACTGAATGTACCTTAATCTTATGTGTTAAATCAATAAAGTTTTTCAAGTTTGCCGCTATTTCTTTCTTTATATTTACAAATCATTCTTATATTTCTTTTTCTTCACTCTTTCCAACATAGATTAAACAGGATTAAAAGTGCAAAAAATAATAATTAATAACTCTATAAGTAACTTATATTGGGAACCAAACTTCTTTCCCATAAATGACTTATAATGGGACCACGACTAGTATAGAAATTAGCTGGGAAGTTGATTTTAGTCTTAAAATCTTATTTCACTTTTTTATATTATATTTATCAATTTTTTCAAATTAATTTATTTAACTTGCAAAACTCATACTTCCTGTAGTCTTTATTACATGAACCGACTAATTAATTCACAGATACTAATAAAAACCGATAAACTAAGAAAAAACAAGTACACTGACAATAACACAATGGAGAGATAGGAAAAGGAAAAAAACGAAGGCTAGACGGTGGAGATGGGATGAGGCAGCGGAACAAATAGGGAAAATGTAAGAGGGATTAAGGTAATGGAAACTAAGGACCCATTTAGAATAATTTATAGATAATTTTTAAATTATAATTTACGAAATACGAAGTAAGTATATGAAAAAAAATGTGTTTTAACTTATATAAAACGTACTCATGAGTGAGTTCTATCGTGATCCCAAATAAGACCTACGAAAAGAAAAGACGGAAAACAAAGTTGAGAAACAAATAAGGTGAAAGTTGGTAAAGATGGAAGGCAGTAAGAAAGAACAATAGAAAAATAGACCAATTACAATAAAATTCAAAAAAAATAATAATTATAAAATAAGTATCAAAAGTTATCATTTTTTATTTTAAAACTTGTCATTACACATAATACTTATATTATTATTAGAAATTTTTAATAATTATTTTTTTAAAAACTTGATTGTAATTCTCCCTCATTTAAAAACAGAGATGCAGAAAACTAAGAAGACTAACTAAGATCAAGAGACGCTAAAAGGGCCCTTTTTTTTCCAAAAGTACTTTCATCCTAAGAGAAAACTCTTCCCATTTACCAATATGGTTTTTAATATAAATTACTTGTAGCATATTTCAGAATACCAAAAAAAAACTAAATTGTTAAAAAATTTTAATTTTATCTTTATTAAAGATTTTTCCCCCTCTCTATTTACAAATCATCCGCTTGTCTTTTTATTTTTTCTCTCTTTCTAATAAAAATTAAATAAGAATAAAATATAAAATAAACATTAAATATCCTATAAATGATTTAGGTGTAGAATCAAAACTTCCTTTAAAAAAAATGACTGATGTTTAGAATGATACTTACTTGGAAGATCCTCAAATGATGACTAAAGCAGTGGAAACCAAAAACAGTGACAAGAGACAAAGAACGAGGAGGCGGTGAAGACGATGGGGAATTAGATGCGGGTGTGAAGCAAGGGACAACAATTGAAGTCAATACGAACAGAAGGTGAAGGAATCATGAAGTTAGAGCCACATGAACTAAACGTGGTAACTTCAATGTCAAGTTAAAACTTTTAATTAGAGTTTAATTCCGGAAATAAAATTTGAGGAACACACTTTCATTAGTCAATCATTGGCCATACGTTCCCAAATTTTATGATATTCTCCAATAGAATCCGAATCTAATGAAGTTTTATCTTGTAAAATTTATAAAATTCTAATACTTCCAATTATATATATATATTCTAAATATAAAATTCTAATATAATCTGTTACTTACATTCATTTTTCCCCCTAAAGTAATATCATGATAATTGCATGTGTTAAATAGTTTCTATTCTAATACATATAATTAGAAGTATATTTTAGAAAAGACAATATTCATTTATAACAAATAAATAATTTAAATATTTTTTAAATATTTATAAATTAGTTATCTAGCTTTTATATTTAAAATCAGAGGTAGTATATATCTTTCTGACTAAAGTATTTTGATTTTTGAACATATTTCATGGAAATTACAAAGAAGAGCGTGAAATTTCATTAACTGTCTTAAATTTTAATAAATTGGGGGTCAAAATGTACATACAATGTGATTTATATTAAGAGCAAAAAATATTTTCCCTGCCAAATTACCAAAAAACCATATTTGCCCTCCCTCATAATAAGAGGAATAAACTTTTAATCAAACTACGTAATATCCATAAGTCACATTAAAATATAATTTATCTAGGTCAACTTAAGCAAACTAATGTGAATAATAAAACTCTCCTAATAAATATTGACATAATTGCAGATATGAATTTTATCGTGTGTGCAATAATACAAAAGAAAAACTTATCAAAAAAATAATAGAACAAAAAACATTTTACACTGATCCTAAACATATCCAATGTAAAGAGTAATCTAATGTCTTGAAAAATATTTCAAACTCCAGTTAGCTTTGTAATAAAGTAGTAAAAAGAGATAAATATGTAAATAAGTTTAATAATTTAAATAACCATCTATACTAGTTGTTTTGTTAACGGGTGTAGAAAGTGTTTTAAAGTCTATAATATCTGTACAACAACGACTGTAAAAATACTTTTTTTATGAGTTATAATATAAATTTTGACATAACTATATATATAAATTTTACTTTGTATTCTACACAAGTCATCATGAATATAATTGGTGTATAGGAGGTAATTTATTTTTTAGAAAAATATTTAAAAATTTTTACGCAAATCAAAAGGTAAATTAGTCTCATATTTTATTTATGAAAATATCGTCAATTACATTATTTATACTGTCCCATATATAACAAGTTAAAACCCATCGTGAAAGGCCTTTTCTCCCTTCTCAAATAGCAGTGATATAATATATATATATATACTACCTCCGGTCCTAATTATAAGAGCCATTTGACTAATTTGAAGAGATTAAAGAAGTAAGTTGAGTTAGTTATTTGTCCTAAATAGGTGTTATCTTTCCTAAAATATCCTTGCTAATCAAGTGTATTGACTAGAACTATTATTGTTAGAATGGCTACTTTGGAAAAATATATATATAAATATGAGAGACAAAGTGGATTGGGGTCTTATATTTAGGACCAAGATAAAAGTCAAACAGGATCTTATATTAAGGACCGGAGGTAGTATATATATATGTATGTATGTATGTATATGTAAACATAGGATATAAACAATTTGATACCCACTTTACAGTAGACAGAGGACCATGTATGAGGATTCTTTCCAACATTAGTTACGTGGAATTCCACCAAGTAAAAATATCTACCCACGAAAAGGCAATTGTGGAAACAACATTTTTTCTTTGTTAAAAAAAAAAATCTCAATGGCTTATTAGCAGTCCGAATCATATGAGAAACTTTTTTATTTATCTTGTACAAAAAAAAGTTCGTTCCTAAATATAAATTACTTATAGAGTAATTAATGAGTTTTTTTAATTTTACCCCTATTGATTTAATAAACACAAAGAGAGATAAAGTAAATAGGTGAGGGGAAATATAAAATATATTTTTATTACTCTTTCTCTAATAAGGAAAAATATGAAAAAAAAAATTATCTATTTAATGCAAATCTTTTACTGTTTTGAGGTACACGTGACTTATAAATAAAAATAGAATGGTACAAATAAGCTAATCTAGTTTACTGGAGTAAATACAAGCCTTTTTAGCTTAAAAGGAAAATTTTCTTTTATTTATTAATTTAAAATGTTAGTGAGGGGTTATTTGCTTTTTTCTGTCTTCTTTTTTTGTTTTTGTAGAAAGTGATATTTATTTAATGGGGAGATAAATGAAATCATTTTTGTCCACGTTGCCATGACACAGCAACTTTAATATGAGTAATCAGCAAGCAAGGGAGGAATCTGTACAAATCCCTCACTTGTTTTAAATAAAACCATTTTGTTTTAATCTCAAATCTCATGCCATTTTATGATCCTTTTATTAATAACATGCCTTGAATTCGATGAAGTGCTAATTCGTGCGTGCAATCGACTCCTTTCTCCGCTTATATGAAAACGGCTTCGTGGTCCCTCTCATTATTTTAAATAGAGAAAACACCTTTTTTTTATTTTTAATTTGGTATATATGTTTTTCTCTATTAATTAAATTATTTAATTTTGCTTTATTAATGCCGTTAGCTTGTATAACTTGGTGCTAGCAAAGTAAAGATTTAATTAAAATACAAAAAAATATAGGTACTAAATTAAAAATTAAGAAAAAGTATAAGTACTCTTAAAATGGTTTTTCGAGAATATTATATCATATGATCCTTATATTTTACTCCTCTAGTCCTATTTATAGAGTAAAGAGAGAAGATTTTTTTTTTATCTTATTTATAAGTCACTTCATTAAATTTTTACGATGAATGTACTATATTGTTTTTTATTTATTATAGTATAGATAGTTATTTTTTTTAAAAGTGTATATATTAAATAGGGGTAAAGTTGAAAATTTACTATATTTTAATGAAGAGTTAATGTAGTTTAAGATTTTTCTTAATTTACGTGAAACAAATTGAAAATATCTTATAAATAGGACTATAGGAGTACTTATGTATCAAATGTGAATTTGATAAAACTTAAGAAGTATGTGCTCTTAGAATCATTTCAAATATCGTACTTGGAAGTCATGTGACTACCAAAGCACCAACGTGAAAATGTTCAATTTTTTTTCTACCTAATCCAACCACTTAATAAATTATAATTAAGGTTATGTGCAAACTACAATGCACTTAACTTTTTTTTTTTTTTAAATCTAACTTCACGACCAAGTTACCTCAAAAGCAACACAATGAACCCCACAGATGAGTTGCGTGATCGGTCTCATCACTTAACTAATTAATAGGTTTAGTGGTTTACGCATTGCTGGGATGAGAGGCAAAGTCTCTGTCTAATCACATGCTACCAAATTATTAGGTTTCTTATAATTCTTGCAGCATTTTTCCTCTTCTCAACTTCGATAGAATCTTCATCTCATAAAAGAAACAATCACACACGCGCGCGCAATATTTTTATAATAAAAATGATAATATAAATATTACAGACATCAAATATATCTTTTTGTTTTTTCAATGGCAAAAATATAAAAATTCACGTGGATCACCAAACAAGGTCTTAGAAATGTCAATTCTTCAAACCTTAACAATTTATATAAAACATTAATAGTAGTCTATAGAAAGTAGTCTCTCTACTTAAAAAAAGATTGACTTTCTAGAAAAGAAACATATCTTCATACAAAGAAAAATTATGGAATGGTCATGTGAGACCAATTCATGATAAGAATAAAATAAAACATGAATTATAAGCACAGAACTTCATGAAATTGGTCCTACATCTCTAAGCAAAATGGGGAACTACATGAGATTTTGAGGGGGGAAAAACAAGGAAAGAACTTTGCTCCATGATCCATGGATCACCTTGACCACAAAACAGAGTTATTCTGAGAGAGGCATCTCATAGTACTTTATACAGTAACAGCAAAAACATCCTAACATTCTATACACTGTACAGTCTCAATAAAGTGAGAATATCATAATTAACAGGATGATCATATCCAAGATGTTAAAATACAAGATCATAGAAATAGTACAGAAGCATGTCTAGAAACTTTAAGAGCAAAATTGTCTTAACCTTTTCTTTCCAGATTCAGCTGACCAGAAGGATAAACACTTCTTTACAGAGTTAATCCTTTGTATGGTTATGAGCAGCACCAACTTACAGTTAAATAACCATAGAATCCATATATTATAATTGTAGTGGCAGGATGCAGCTTTAGTAATGTAGAACAACAACAACAACACTTCGAGCCTTACGGGAGAATGTACATCACTTCTTCCAAAGCTTCTGTGAGAAAATCTTTTTTGAGTATGGACTATTTCTCGAAACAGCTTTGTGGGATTCTATCGCTTCGACTAGTGCATTATGCACATGACCCTAGTTCAGAAGAAAATTCAAACGTAAGAAAAGGAAAAGAAAAGAAGAGTCAAAGGAGGATTAAAGTCCATTAATGAAGCTTGATAAATGCTAATGAGTTAGAAAATGCATTTGCACTTGCAGAAATATATAAAGGATGTAACGAGCTTATTTTTTAACTGAAAAAAAAATGAGGCAAGCTGATAGTTTGATCTGATTAATCAGTCGTGATTTTGTCAAACCGCGTCATTGCTATGTCCTCAAGATATTGGCATCAGGGAAACAAGAGGGAACAAATAAATAACGCTTGTGTTACAAACCGCAGAATTTCGAAGAGCTGATTGAACAACATAGTTTGCGTGGGGATCTTGAAGCAACTGCTCAAAGTGTGGAGCAGAGAGCAGTTCGCAGATGATTCTTGACCGGTTCTCACCACTGAATACAGCAAGACATTTTTCAACCACATGGCTGCTGAATTTCTCCATTGACAGGTGAACATAGTGACCCTCAAATTGTGAAATTATACAAGCAGTGGCATATGGATTCCTTAAGTCCAAGATATACTGGACAACATAATTTCTGCAGGGAAAACAAAAGTAATAGATGAAACTTGAAAAGAGAAATCCGAAAGTGCAGAGGACAATATGTCTCATGCTCTTAGTAAATTTCTAAATGCAACAAGTCAATGAAGAATCAGTGGCAAAGATTTGTTGGAAATAGTGAGGCTGGATCAATTTGGTGACTATATATCACTTGCAGAGAGCAAACATGTGCTGAGAAAGAAAAGGGCTTAGAATGAACTAGACATTACAGTTCAGGGATGTTTCATCCTTTGACAGTTTCTACAGCCTAGGATGAAATGGACAATCATTGTATATGTTCTTCTATTCAAAGTTTTGATCTGATGATCATTCTATCATTACGATGGTCATACATATGCAGAAAAGTTCTGGCACAGAAACTAAAGCCTTTTGTTCGAAAATCAAATGTCCCCATGATTACCAAATTGGTATGCAGGTACGTTGAAAAGTTCCATGCAAATCGCCCAAGAAGATGATTCGATATAGTAAAGATTGTGGCCTTGACAGCAAAAATTAAAAAAAGGTTTCTACATTGAAAATGACACAAGATAAACGTGATCTTAAAAGGACTTGAGCTCAAAAAGAATAAATACCCATATTGGTCTTGAGCTAGCAGAAGAGCATTAGCAGATATTTCAGCAATCAGTCTGTCACGATCCTCCCCACTTGAATGACTAATGCATCTTTGCAGAACACAACATCCATGTTGATGAGTTGCAATCTCGATGCAATACTTTGCGGCAGCAACAAATATAAACTGTTCAATATTTGACAGGAAAAATTTAATACTTCCACAAGGAATCCCAGATTTTTCACACCGCAATAATGAGTGCAACAGAAATTGCATTAATGACCAATGCTTGGCCTAGTTCAATTACAATGCAACAATAACAAGTTTTATCTCACTAAGTGAGGTTGGCAACATGAATCACACTGCGACATTGTGCTCTAATTCAATTAGCATGCATTCCCATTAAAGTATTGAACTCAGAAACAATAAAAATATCTGTGCATCAACCTACAAAGTTCACTAAGAGTATGTTAATAATGTAATAGAGATATGAACCAGCAACAACTCTTACACTGCAATAGACCTATGCCTTTTTGTTATTATTGTCACTACATACACCTGGCGATGCACTAAGGAGTATGTGCCAAATCCCAAAGTAAACTTCAATTCAATCACAAATTACGTGCCCTTCACCTGATATTGAGATAATCACCAAAGTTTCACTGGAATCTAGATCAACATTGTTGTTACGAAGTATTAATCTGATTGGGACTACTTTTACAAAAATAAAAAATAAGGTAAAGGCCACACAAATCCGGTTTACTAATTTTCTTAAAAAAATTAATCAATTAATGTTCTTGGACTCTAACTATCAGTTCATGATCCTTCACAAACTATGACTGCGATACAATAGACATCTAAGTGTTGTAGACTACCTTTAAGAAATCATGATCCTATCAGCTTATGGATGTGCCTTACAGTTTAAAAACTTTATCTTCCCATAAATATATTCAAGATTAGAATTGTTGAAAAAGAAAACCTCATTAAGGTCCATCTAATACGTCTCCATTTCTAACGCTTTTACTCAAACTGTGGGCTCAGGTAATATCTACGTCAAATTTTCCTATCATGGATTCTAGAACATAGTCTCTAGCAATCAAAGCCAGAGAAAATGATAAGGTGAACTTGATACTAGCAAATTTAAAGGTGACATCCACAACAGAAGGGAAATTTTAAGGGAAACCATAACATCTATATTAATTGTATCCATTATTCAGTCCCAGCAATGCAGAACTGTTGACACCTCTCGTTACAGAAAACAGAAACCCAGCTGCTGAAAATGCCCAAATGTCTTTTCCATTTCATGCAAGAAAGACGCTGAACATAGAACCTGCACATTCTGATGGAAAATACGTAGGCATACAAAAGTTTTGCATCTTACGAAATAAGTTAAAAAACCATTGAGAATAGAATGAAACTTACAGAAAACAACAAACTTTTACTATTTTACATGAGATCATCAGTGAATATACAAAGGTTTTTAGTACATCAGCAATGTCATAAAAAATGTTACATTGAAAGGACTAATTGTAAAAGCTGAGAATAGAATGAAACTTGAAGAAAACAAGAAGGAAGTAATATTTCACTTGAGATGTTCGATGAACAAAATTGATGCATAAAAGGCTTTTTAGTGTATCAACAAGAGTCAGGCATACGGATTTTTGTTCATCATTGCAATATCATGCATATATATAGTACCATCCAAATAATAAAATACTTGCAAAGACAGAAGTCATACTTTGTTATCTTCATTGCTCAGGAACTGCAAACATCGCTGAATCACATGATTTCCATTTAGATCTTTAATAAGTTCCAAGAATCCAGGTTCAAGGGCTGACACAACTAGGGAAATTTGCTGTCTTATTTTGAGAGTCTCAATTAGCTTCTGTACCACACGGGTGCTGGCAAAAGAAAAGTAGATATTGTCAAATTAAAACTAAGACACCGACCAAATATTGAAGAACTTGCGTAAGTGGCATAGCATCACTACCCATGAGTGTTTAAAGAGATTCTGACAAGCTGCCCTCGTTCTAGAGTAACCATGAGTATGATCCGCATCCTCTGTTCTTCAGTGCACACATCCAACAACTTCTGCATAAGGTAATTTCCGAAAGGATTCACCATAAGTTCAACAACATGATTGATGATCTCATTAAATATTACTTGAACATCTTCTGGGGTACCCTCATCAAACATTCTTTGCAAAAATCTACACCCTTGCTGATCTTTGGCAATTAAACATATGTACCCCCTAGCTCCTGCTAGGGAATGACACTTGGACAGTGAGGGGAATGAGCAATCAGTCCTAGCAACCTGATGGATTACATGATTTCCCAAAACTTGGCGCTGGATTTCAGGCTCTGACTTGCGCAGATTCTTCTTATAGCCAGTTTCACGCAATGAACCCTTACTCTGACCCCTTGGATGATCAAAACCATTGCTAATGACATAATTTAAACCTTCACCTTGGATGATGAAGCTCCCTTCACTTGTAATAGCATCTAGGCCTGCTTGTGGAATTCTTGTGTTTGAAAGGGGGGAAGCTCTTGCATTAGACGTAGGAAGGTTACACTGCTGTAAGTGTTTAGCGCTCAAATATGGCCTTAAATTAGAACGAATGGGAGAATTCGGAAATGTTGACATGTTCCTTTCTCGCATCAAACTCATTCCATTTTGATGTGGATGAGGTGAAGTATCAACTATAGGATGTCCACTCAAAGAAGCAGTAAGCTCTGGTGCCATATTTCCTCCGTAACAGAAGTTATTTATCAGCTGCCCTCTGCAGGCAGAAGAATCTATTGAACTTCTAAAGTCATTTGATTGCAACATCATAGTTTCAAGCCTTCTGGAACAGTGTCGTGCTCCAAATAAACCAGCCATCTTATTGCCCCGGGGAAATCCTGGAAATGCTACGCCTGCTTCAGAATCGGGACTCACAGGACTTACAGGAATACTAGGAAAAGGGGATTCAACTCCCCTACGGTTAAGAAATGCTCTCTTGAAATTGCGATATTCCTCTTGTTTACAATCATTGATGGGGTTATTTCCATCCAAACAGACACAAGAAGGAAGCCCATTCATGCCTATTGACGCATCTTCCACATTACAAGGCTTATCATGTTGGTTGTTAAAATGCATTCTTCTCAAAGCGGAGCAGAGTTCTAATTCATCAACCAAGTTTCCATTATCCTTCTTCCTGACAGTTAAATCAGGCATTTTGGAGTCCAAGCAGAAACTTTTTGGGCAGTTAAAACTCCCAGAAGACATGGGAGATTTAAGCTCCTCCAATGGGAGTGGCGTTGGCGATCCATTGTCAGAAGAGGGATACCTACCAGAGAACGGGCTTGAGGAAGACCCATCCGATAGCAGAGACAAACCGCTGACAGGGGATGAAATACACGGATACTTAGTCATATGAGTAAACGGATCATCATCAAACATACCATACATTCCATGGATAGCCTGTCTGTCATCCCCACCATAACCATGTGGATGCTGATGAAGAAGATTGTATGAAGTTATCTGAGGGATCTCATCTAACAGCTTCTCAACTTCTTCGTCATGCTCCACGTTTTCTCTCATCTTGTCCCCCTATCTCAACGCCTTCGGACACCGACAAAAAAAAAACAAGCCAACCGATACCGCCGGAAAAATTAAAAAGCTGACCCCAAGCAATCAGAGCAATCCCAGAAACAGAAAACTCATTACAGATATCGATTAAAACAGTTCAATAACACATCCCATTACGAGATTACCATTATCAGTCATTCGGGTGTCGCTCAGAAGTTTAAATAGAGATGGCTTTTGTTGATGGAGATTTCAATTTCATCAATAACCTCCACATTTGGATTTTATCAGTGAACTATTGGTAAGGCATGCAAAGATTGAAGGATTTCAGACGATGACTGGGTAGCGTAGATGTGCAGTTCGCGTAATTTCTAACGCCATTAAAGCCGAAGAGGAAGAGTCGCTCCGGGCTATATGAACACACTCACCCACGAAACCAGAGAGGAATTGAACACACACTATATTGCGAGTCTTAACAGTGGGTTGCGAGCTTTCCCCTTTATATTTCTTCTATAAAAAGTTATTTTTATTTTCTCATTTTGTTTATTTGTTTAATGTTTAATTTCATATTATATAGTAATAAATAAATAATAATAATTTGAAATGCATAAATTAAATTTTAGTGTAGTCTGTTATCAAATTTTTATTGGGCTTTTGTTAATTATGCAATTAATTTAACTTGTTTAATTGTAGTAATAGTCATAAATTATCAAATTATCATAATATTACTTATAATCATTACCAACGTGAAAGAACTATTGTTAAAATATTAGCCAGAACTCTAACAATTTGATATAAAATTTTAAATTATAAAAATATGAAATTAATTAAAAAAATGAGCGAGGCTTTTGTGAGCATTGACCTTGAAAAAGAGGGGTATAATTTATTATTAATAGTGTGATATTTATACATTATATTAATATTGATACAATACTTATCATGAAATATATATATATATGTTTTCGGACCAATACAATTTTATTTTTATTTTTATTTTTACAAAAAATATTTTTAATCATTTAATTTTATTCAATTATTAAGTTTTCTCTCCCATTAGTTTTAAATATTTCTTTTTTATATAAATCATTATTATTTTAGAAAATTGAATTTAATATGTAAATATTTTAGAATATTTTATTAATATTTAAAACATCAATATAAAGTTAAAATGTTGAAGGGTACTACTATCTTTTCCATGAAAAGGCAAAATTCATTAAAAACTGGCAACGTTAAAAGTTAATACAGCCAGCCAGACAATTTTCACCTTGACTAATTATTAATATTCAAACATTAAAAACAAAATAAAACATCTAATCATATAATTTCAAACGTAATTTCATTCTAATTTTGCCACAATTTCATTCTGATTCTTAATTTTATCATTGCTCAACTTCTAAGGAATTTTCATTTTAGTTGTATTGAAATAGCTACTTTTCTTAATCCTCTTGTTTTACTAATTTTCAATATAAGAGCTTATTTAACTTTTAATTGTATCATAAATATAAGATTAAAAATTAGATATTTCAATGCTATTAAAATGAAAATTCCTAAGAAGTTGAGAAATGATAAGATTAGGAATCAGAATGAAATTCTAGCAAAATCAGAATGAAATTATGTTTGAAATTATATGATTAGATGTTTTATTTTGTTTTTAATGTTTGAAAATTAATAATTAGTCAAGGTGAAACTCCTTTTTCATGCGTGTCATACACGCTCAGCGATGATGATGGGACCCATCACATAATCAGCACTTTGTCATCGAGTTCGGATCCGGCAAGGCGCGTGAAGCCAAATAGACAAAATTTCAATTTATAATAAAACAATATATATATTACATTTTTGTAAAAGTTTTGTGAATTTCCATGATTTTTCTGTTCCTGATATTCCCCGAGATTGCAACAACCCTCCAAATGCTTCCATCGGCCAGCATGTAAAGTTGCGACGAATTTAATTTTTAAAATATTCGGAAGTTCCATATTGCCCTCGCTCTGGTTTCATTTTCCTTTCCTTTCCTATCCTATCCTCCAAAACCACGCATGACCATCTGAGGGGTAAATATGATATTTAATTATATTCTACAATTAATATCCACATTTAATTGAAGTGATTAACACAGGGGACCTTGTTAATCGCGGTGCATCGCACCTTAATGACCTTATTTTGGTCTTATCTTGTGGTAAGCCATCAGTTAATATCATGAGTTAGTTCTAATTAGGTGGAAAAAAATATTGAATGAAATCTTACTTAAAGAAAAATTAACAATTAAGTCATGATTTAAAATCAATTTGTTTACATGTCTCAAATTCGAGTACTAAAGAAAACACCTTTGTAGGGAGGAAAAGTCACGAACTCCAAATCAGATTAGCCAGATGATAATATCAAAGGGAAAAAAAAGAGAGAATAGATTTGATAAGTAGTAATACGAAAATGTTGCATTAAATACTCCTCCGGTCCTTAATATAAGACTTATTAAACTAATTTGATTAGATTAAAAAAGTTGAGTAAGTTAGTTAATTATGAGAAATATGACATATTTTTCCTAAAATGCTATAATCATCTTCTTTAATATCATTCCTCCCTCTTCTATTTGATCATCATTGAGAAAGTATCCATAAGAGTAATTTAGAAAAATTGATAAAATTAAAATTAATTCAACAATTAGGTCCTATACTAAGGATTAGAGGAGTATTATTTTCTTTATTTTAACGTGTTTAAATTTGAAAACTTTTCCTTTTAATTTAACTATTAAATCCGGATTATACGGTTTTGAATTTGTTTTAATACTTCTCATAAATTACTTAGTAAATTATACCGTAATACGCACACACACGTGTACATATGAAGACCGATATAAAATTGCCTTTTTGGGGCGAAATATAACTCCCTATTTCATTATACTTATTTTTCTGTCATAATTTAATCATTGTAGTTGTTTGACATAATGATAAGTATAAAATATATTTGACATCAATCTTTCCAACAAATTGAGAAAATTGTGAACTAAAATCAACGGTCCATATATTTTGTTAAACACTTTTTTTAACGGGCACCTTACGAGATATTCTTTAAGAATCCTTCTTCTTCTTCTTGTTTTTTTTTGGGGTAAAAGAATCCATCAGACCATCTTAATTTACAATCCATGTCCATCAATTACATATTACTACTATTAAATAAATTAAATTAATTTTATTAAGAATCTAACAATAATTGAAAATGGAATCTTACTCAAATAATTATAAACCACCCGTTCTATTAAAAATAACTAAAAATTTAATAATATATCTAATATTTAGGATTAAACATTTTGATATACAAAATTGTTATACAACACTCTTTTGATTCTAAATATAAGAACTAATTGATAAATAATCTGCTCTGGTTATAAACTCTCAATTAATTTACCTTCCAAATTTATAATTTTTTCTTAAAATACTCTTAAAAATCACATATATTAAAGAATGTTTTCCATGAATATGGGTAATGATTAAATGAATGTATTTTCAAAAAATAACAGATATTTATTATAAATAATTAAATAATTTAATTTTTTTAATATTTATAAATTAACTATCTAACTCTTACATGTAAAACTACAGAAGTATCAAATCATAATTTCTTTTTGTGGCAATTATAATGTGAGTCTAAATCAACAAAATACATATATAAAAATAATTTTTTTTTGGTCTAGCAACCTAAATTGGTGTGAGGGACAGATATTCTGAATTCTCTTGCTTAAACAAGTAACGAGAGATTTAAATCCTAACTTCTTTATTAGGTGGGGTTTATCCTAATTTTACTCTCACTTGAGCATATAATTGTTATGTCTCATCCAAAAAAAATATTTTTGTCTTATTTATTTTAATAATTGTTTTAAAATTTTCAAATTCGTTTGGCATCATTTTTTGTAGTGTTAAAAATAAGGAAATGAAAAGGTGACGAAGTGATAAGTAACCTCACAAAGAAGAGTGATTAAGCAACGAACCAAAAAAAAAAAAAAGGTAAGGCGGCAAAATGAAAAGAAAGGCCAATTTCATTTGACTTGTTGGCTGGCTTTATATCACCCACCGGGCGTTTGGCTTACTTGCTTGGTCTCCAAGAAAAGGACACGTTCGTCATTTCGTTGTTTCCAAGGGGCCAAATATTTGCCCCAACCAGGCGGACCAAATTTCTTAATATTCCTTGTCCGTTTCATTCGTTTCCTTCGTCGGAAAGCGAGAAACCGCAGGGCCCCACGTGTAACCTCTCAGCTTCCATCCTTTGAATGGGTCCACTTGTACCTTCTTCCAATTACCTCTGTACCCGTGGATAACTAATTACCCGCCAAGCACAGGATTTTCTTTCTCTGGGGTAATTCAGTGCAAATTAATAGTCACAAACCCTAATTTTATTTTTGAGTAACATAAAATCCAACCGTTTTGAAGTTTTCAGCACATGCGTGCTTCAATTACGTAAGATTATAATTGGTTTTTTGTATTGGTTCCTATAACTTAATATGTAAATATTTTTAATTTTATTTATTAACGTTTATTCACTATTTTACTAGCTCTGGTTCTAAATATAAGCATTAGTGACTAATTTGAGTAGATTAAAAAAATTTAAGTTAGTTATTTGTAATAAATAGATGTTGTCTTTCCTAAAATATCCTTACTAATCAAATTTATTGGTTAGAACTACTATTATTAGAAGAACTATCTTAAAAAAAAAATAAATATAAAAGATAGAGTGGATTGGGGTCTTATATTTATGATAAAAAATTAAATGAGGTCTTATATTAAGGACCGCATGTAGTATCATACTAAAAATTTAATGAAGTGATTTATAAATAAGACAAAAAAGTCTTCTCTTTCCGCTTTATAAATAGGACCAGAAGGGTATGCTATAATTTTTATAAAAATAAAAATATATTGATAATGTTAATATTAATATTTATTTGAACTTTAGAACAGAAAATAAAATCAAAAGATAAAGTGGGGGGAATACACTTCCACTAGGGTAAATCCAAAAGTAAATTGAAGAAGCCCGCTCCTTTAATTATCTTTATGGTTTTGTTTGCTATGTAGAAAAATACTTGGGGAAAAAACTCATATTGACGTTTTTGGAAATGAATTATGATTTAATGCAACAATAAAGCTAGATGTGTGTGTGTGATTCAACAAGAAATAATGTTGAAATAGAAAAAAGACAACGTTGTTAAATTTGAGTGGTCTTAGTAAAAATCATCATAAAATTAAATTAAATCTTAAAATGTATCAAAACGACTAGTATATAATATAAATTAGACAAAATTTGACAATATGGTTCATTGTATTTTCCCCCTCTTGGTATGATGCCCCAGGAAACACGTTTTAATTAGAAAAACGGGGTCACTACTTTAGTTAAGATGTGATTTTTGACAATCAATCGGAGAGAATTTGTTCCCTATTAACTAACATAATATTGTTTTTGTTT